AAACCAAGTTTTGGTTTAGGAGATTGTTCAGGGAGATTTCTTCCATCATGAACCTGCTACATGTTTCAAAAGTATATTCTAGAGTGTCAGAAGATATTCTCAAGTCAAATTTTAGGCTTTATAGGAGGTTACAGGAGAAAGTGGAATTGCGTTTTTCATTAGAGGAAACCATTCCTACAAGAATCCAGCTAAAATAATTTAAGACAGAAGTTCTTTTAGCCATTTTTATATTGCTCATGGCCATCATTTAATTTGTAAGCAAAGTTGCTTGTCAAAAAGCTTCTCTACTAGTATCTTTAAATCCTCACTTTTTATGTTAAATATACAGTACATTTATTGAAATTGATCAAAATTCAATGGGGTTTTATTTGGCAATTTCTATCCCATTATTTTAGCATCTTTACACCACCAAAGGAATGCACATATACATTGTTTAAGATTTTCTCTCTGCATAATTATTTATGAGTAGGATTGGAGTTGAAAGTAAAAAAAATGGGCAAAGAGATGCAAAGGCCTCACTTCTCAACACTGTGGATATATTTACAGTATATTTAAAAATTAACTGCTTCTTGGGTTGGATATTTGTCTATGGATATACAGTAATGAGGCTTCTGTCTTTTCCCTATTCAGTTAACCTCTTCCATTTGCCTCATCTTTATTCAATTTTCCCTTTTAACCCATTGCAACTATTTCCCTCCCATTTTTGTTGATGGGGAAGGTGGGAGGAAAATACAGAGTATGAAAGATAAGGATCAATTATTTTTTATGCAGAGTATATTCTACAGGTAATTAATTTTAAGTAATTATTACATCAATTCATCAAGCACTCAAAATTCTTTATTATAGTAATCAGACATAATTCAGTGACAATAGTACAGGATGAGGTAGGAAGTGGGATAATGGTAGACAAACAAAACGAGAAAAAGAAGGAAAAGTTTAAAAAAAAACAGGTAAGAAATGGAATCATATTTATATACCTGTATTTCTTTGTCCTGACCTACATCTCTTTTGGTGATGGGACATGAGGGAATGTGGTTTCTAGTATACATTATGCATTCATACACACACACTTTTTAAATAAACTTTTCCTCCCTTTGTCTTGACTCCTGGTGATTGTCTAAAGAAGCCCTTGCTATTTTCTTGGTGACACTTTTCAAAATTGGTTTGCCATTGCACTCTCTGCTATGGCAGAGAGAGTGACTGTCTCAAAGTTATCCAGTTGGCTTTGTATTTAGTATTCATAATTTCCTGGTTTTTAGCTTGATGTCTTTAATTGCTACACAGAAGTAGTGTCATTTTTAAAATATGCATACATATATATAAATACAGGCCAAATTGGCAAAAGAAAGCTCAGGACCACATTGGTTGGAAACATGCGGAAGAGGCCTTCATCCTGCAGTGAATAGACAGTGGCTAAAATGATGGTGATGATATATAAATGCATTGTGTGGATAAATTTATTGCAGAAGGGGCAATCTATATGATTTTTATCTTGTGATAAAGTGGAATTAATGGGTGCAGGTACAAGAAGCAAGGCATTAATAGGATTTGGGTTGGATATATCATATTCTGTCTTTAGGCATAGATACAGTATTAAAATTTCAAGATGCACAAAAATTCAGAAGGGTTTGGGTTTTGTTTTTTTTACAAAGCTATGATAAAATTAAATGCAGAAAAAAGCTTCAATTATTAAACATAGGAAGTAATAAAATAACTACAGAGATAACAAAAACTACATTTTTCATACAATAACAAAATATAAGTACAGTATACTGCTAGTATATCACGTTTCATGAGTATTCATTAAGAAATTCATAAACATCACAATTTTTAATATTTACACATTCATGTATACATAATTATAGAGCTTTGACACCATATCTTATTGTAAATATTTCAAAATATTTAATAAATATCCAAGATTGTGCTGCAGCACCCTCTAGTGTTTATTGAACTCATGATCCATATCCCTAATTAAGAGAATATGGGTTGTTGGAAAAAGGAAAATTTTCTCAAAAGTAAGTATTCTAGATCATTCAAAAACTTCTTGATGTCCTTACTGAGTATGTTTATTTTAAATTGTGTTTTTAATTAAACTGATGAAATATGCGTTAATTTGAATGTTAGAACTGAATAATTTCATTTTAAATGTAATGATCTCACACTGAAATTAACTTGATTATTAAGAATACTAACATGACTTCATATAAATGGTATACTAAAAGCTAGGCACTATAGATACTTTTATATAAATTATATTAAATGTTCAAATTTGTTGCCATTTGCATATAAATACTTCCTTATGGGTAGTCTTTGACTAACAACCATTTGTTAAATTACTGTTCAAAGTTACAACAGAGCTGAAAAAAATGACTGGTCCTTGCACTTAATGGCTGACTCACTGTCCCACAATTCACTATGGTACAAAACTTGTTATGTACATCTTATGATAGAGATGTAAACAGAATCTCCCACATGTATATATTTACATATAATCTTATATCCTTTTACAGTCTTAACTACATACATAGTCTTTCTTCAGCACTGCAATATGCATCTTGCACCAGTCAGATGGACACCTGTACAACATAGATTTTCCTCATACATATTTTCCTCATACGCATATGTACAGTCTTTCCACATACAGACATTGAGTAATATTGTTTAAAGACCTTTTTCTTTTTAAATAGATATTTAAAAACATAGTAATGAGAAAGAGCAAAAACTGTAACCCAAATATTATCAAGCTCTATAGAAGTAGGATTTTTAAAGTAACATTAGTGCTGCATATAAAAGTGATATATCAATTTAACATTTCAAAACCATTGTTGAAATAAAGCCAGTATTCAATACTTAACAAAGACAGCCAGATCATCTAGCAAAAGAATCATCTAGCAAAATGGACACTTAACACAAGGTTCTGTATAATCTAAAAAATGAAACAAGCAGTATCTAATAATTTAAAGATTTTTAAAAAACAGATACCGTAAGAGTCTATATGCAGAATTATAATCTGTAATTCCAAATTTGGTTTCCTAATGAATTAAATTCTCTATCAAACTTATTTTTCAATTTAGGAGGTTACTTTTTAATATTAAAGCATATTCTCTTTTACTTCCCAAAAAATTAATTTGAAAATCATGATTTAGTTATTGTTGCCAACATAAGCTGGAATAATTTCAACCTTCCCTGAAAAGAGAGAGGAGCAATTGTATGGAGAAGAAAAGTTATTTTCAGCTATTTCCCTTCAACTTAAGAGAACAAATGGGTCTTGCTTATAAGGAGTCTGTCTGGGATCACAGTAGGGACCTGGCAGGAAGAAGGTCATGGCTCAAAGGGTCTGATTATTGTGGGTGTGCTTAGGAAGACTGGCAGGAGCCTTTGACTCTAAGCTCAATAGTACTGTTTTTATTATGAATTAAACTAAGTTTTAATATTATTTAATGGTTTCTTTTGTTTTTATTGATTTAAAATATTTTAATATTTGGATTGTAATATATTTTTGAATTGTAATTACAAAAATAATTCTGCCTCACTATACTTTTCTTTTGCAGTTCAGTGTATATTTCCACAGTGACTTTTTTCACCATTGTTTATTAATGTAAAATTTAAAGGGAAGAGAACTGTGGGTTTTGCTGGTATTTTTGTTCTGCTCTTAAGCTAGATAAGTATAGATAATGGCTAGACCTAGACTGCGGAAGCCCAGATTCAAGCTCTTGCTGGACCATAGAATCTGCTGCATGACTTTGGACTAAGCATTCTCTCATTGACTAGCCTATATTGCACGCTGCTGTGGGGATAATATAAAGGGAGAGGAGGCCCCATTTATGTCATCTTGAGCTCTAAATAAATGGGACATAATCTAATACAATAAATTTTTAAAAATGTAGCTGTGTTAATTGAGTATTCGAATTAAATTGGTGGGAAACTATTTTTTTCTTTTTCATATTCTCTTGTAAATACTTCTGATACGTCCTTCAGAAAGCTTGAGTCTCTGTGAAAAACTCTGAAATATATATAGAAACAATAAGAAGAGAATTAGGAAATTTTCAGTTACACAAGTGAAAGTTCAATACTGTAATATAATTTTAGAAGTCACCTTCTTTTACTGTTTATAGTGATTAAAAGAAATAAGCAGACAACTGGGAATCTGAATGCTAAAATCAAAAATATTCCTGCTCCTGAATGCTGTTGTTTTCAAACCTATAGTTCTTAATATAATATCAATTTCATTACATTGTTTAGCTGCATTTATACTGAATGTCTAAGTAAGAAAACACATTTATTTCCAGACTACTCAGAACACACGAACAACCCTTCACAAGTGATTTTTCACAAGATTTAATAAGTGATTTTTTTGTGGGATATTAGAGATGAAGGGATGAAAATGCTTTTATTGTTACAAGTGATGTTATGTTTTGTACTTTTCAGCCAAAGCAATTGAGCAAATTTTATTGGTTGACATGTTTCTTAAAACTTCAACTGATAATGAAATTTCACCAATGCGTTTGTTACTGTACTAACAGTGCTTCTTTGAAGTTCGTTTCTGTGTAATTACAATGTGGCATTTATTTGTATCTGGAATCTTTCTGATTCCAGTTCATTAAATGTCATAGGATTAACAAGAACTGATGTAATGATGAATAAAGCATATTGAGTTTCTTGAATAGAGAGTTTCCCTGAGTTTTCCTGTGAGGATTGTATTGTTCCTGCTTTATTTCTCTTCCTGGACTTATGATTTAAAAATACATATTTGATTTTGAATGCTGTTTTGAACAGGTTTACTGTAAAATAATAATTTATTAGGAACATGGCAGTTAGCTTGGCAAAACAATTTATTTATCGCAAAGCAGTACAATCTATAGATAATTTTCTTTTTGTGGATAATATCCCTGTAAATTCTTCTAGGAGGCATAGAACATAGAATTAAAAGATGTGTTGTATATTGTATAAACATGACTAAAACGAAAGATAATTATGTTACCATTTTGTATTTTCAGGCTCGGATAGCATTTTTGCAAGGCGAGAGAAAGGGTCAAGAAAACTTGAAGAAAGATTTAGTAAGAAGAATAAAAATGTTAGAATATGCATTAAAACAAGAAAGGTATCTATCCCTTGTTTCTCAACTAAGAAGTTTACATAGAATGCTTTCGTATTAATTAACTTGACATTGATAATTGAAGAAAATTGTGGAATTTGAATATTGTTCTGAATAAAAAAGAGTAATTGGAAGTGCTCTTGCTCCAAGATTTGAATTCAGCCTGTTCAAGATAGGGCTAACCCATCAGAAACAACAGATTAATGATTATTTAATTACAAGGTGGAGGCTATGATAAAGAATGAATTTAATGTGCTAGCTATGGCTATTCCTGAACCCGTTAGTTTCCTGCCTTGATTATTGTCTTATTTCAGTGTGCTCCTTGAAAAGTGTTCTGAAGCTCCAGATGATGGGAAATGTGGTAGCTAAGCTACTGATTGGTACAAGATACTAGAACCATAAAATGTATTGCTTTGTCAGTTGCTTTCCAGATACAATTAGAAGGTATTGATGTCATTTTCTATATCCATACTGGCTTTGAGCATAAAATATGAATGGTTTAAGATTGTTATGAACTTGTTTTAATTAGTTAAAGCTCTAACAAGAATTCATATACAGCATTCTATGATTTGGAGATTATTCCCTTATGTTAAACCCTACACAGCTGAAACCCATTGCTGATGCCTATTTACCTTTTTTAATTTAGAAGACAAAATCAATTCAGTTATTTAAAGACTGAACATTGATTTTTGTAAAAAGTAATAACTCATTTATTGTTTTTATTTTAATGTTGGTCAGTATACGAAATGTAATTTTGTGGGTTCTATGTAGGGTACTGTTTGCTTTTTGATGGTAGATTTTTTAAAAAATATACTCAATACACTAGGTACCTGTATACACAAAGGTGATGAACAGGAGACTTGCTAATTAAAACACTATTTGATATTTCCAAGTCTATCAATGACCAAAAGCACTGATCATTTCCTTTAACCATAGGGCCAGTCTCCTGATGAGTGATTTAATTAGCCAAGGTCAAGTAAGCAGATGGTGGTTCACATGTAACATCCACATGCCTGGGATTTTAATTTATAAGACTGCAGAGATTAATGTTTTGACATCTTGGTGTGAATGTTGTAAGAAAAATACAAATCTAAATTTTATTTACTGGTCAATCCACTTATATTTTTCTTTTAAGGGCAAAATATCATAAACTAAAATATGGCACAGAATTGAATCAAGGTGACTTGAAAATGCCAACTTTTGAATCAGGTAAAAAACTATAATTATTGTATTTAGCTCACATTCTTTTGTCCACCTTTTATACCAGAATAAGTTTTTACAATCAATATTGCTTTGTATTGTAAAATTGGGTTTCATTTTACTCACACAAGTTATGTGAACTTTTTCAAGTTTCCGTAGTATTGAACTATTAATGATAAAGGTAATAATTACAGTACCTCTAGATCAGGGTTGTCAGATTCAAGGGCTGGGGGCTAGATCCAGCTCACAGGGTGCTTAGATCTGGCCCGCAGGGTTGCCCTGGAAACAGCAAAGGACCGGCCCACAGTGCCTCTGCCAGCAAAAATAGAGCCTTTGGCCCTCCTGAGCTCCGTTTTTACTGGTAGAAGGTTGCAGGATGGCATCACAGCCAAAAACAGAGCTCAGGAGCCCATTTTGCTGGCAGAGCATTCGAGCCATCACAGGCGCCCCTGGCACAAGTGATGTGGAGCTGGCCACGCCTGCCCTGGTCCCCTGAGGTCGAACACAACCCTGATGCCCTCAATGAAATCGAGTTTGACACCCCTGCTCTAGATATGTCCCAAAGTTTCTTTTTCAAGAGGCTACTAAACTTTCTGGGTGTTTTAAAAGACATTTTGCTTCTCATCCAAGAAGCTTCTTCAGCTCTCTTGGATGAGAAGAGAAGTGTTTTCAAAGAAAAATCAGAAAGTCCAGTTGCCTCTTGAAAAGCACCTCTGGGACAACCATGACCTGGATGACTGAGAATCTCCATAGACCTCTAGATAGTATATTTTCTTAGTCCAACACGTCAAACATATGCTTTTCTATAAATAGGTATAATTGGCAGTGGCAATTTGTGATTTTTGCATTGATCAGATCACTTTTAGAATACTGTGTCTGTCACCACTTTAATGAAGGACAATGACACAGTAAAGCATGTCCAGCTGAGAGCAAACAAATGTAAATGTCTAGAAGGAAAACTTTTGAAGAAAGGTTTGATGCAGTAGCCCTATTTAGACTAAAGAAAAGAATATTGTGGACAAATAGGATGACTCTATTCAAGTATTTGAAGAGCTGTCATGTAGAATATAGGGCAGACATTTTGACTTGTCGTAGAAGACATGATAGGGACAATGCATTTTTAAAAAACCAGTTGGAAATCAGAGTATATTTCTTAAAGGTAAAAAAAATTAGTCATGCAAGAGTTGCATTGTGAGGTTAGAATTTCCTTCATTGTAAATGTTTAAACCAAGATTAAATAGCCATCTGAAATGTTGTAGTAATGAATTCCTACAATTGGCAGGGGAACTGGATATTCTCCAAGATTACTTCCAATCTTTACATTCTGTTTTTTCACTTTCCTTCCCTTTTTTTGTTCAGGTTTTCTTATTTTTTGATATGAGCCATTTATCATATAATATTTAACTGTGAACAAGCCAAAGTTCATGTTATTCCTCAAGAATAGTAATAAAAAAAGTATGAAACAAAACGTAAAATCAGCAAGTTTATTAAAAAGGTGGATTAAGTAAATTAATCAGAAAGCTGATCAAAAGTTGACACACAATTTAAGAAATTAGCAGGTGGCTATGCTTTTCCTTGTCTATGTTACTATCAGTTACCGAGAAAACTTTCCATTCTTTAGTCTTATGTAAATATAAATGTTGATGTTCATGAGGAACATATATATCAGGAAACATAGCTTTCCATTCAAGTGGAATATCATATATAACCTGGAATTATAAAGATTACATGTACCTCATAACTTTTCCCTCACTTTTAAACATCTAATAATATGTTAAAAATAAATTGTGGGTGCTCCATAATTGGAGGCTTTTAAGAACAGTCAGGATAGCCATTTGTCTGAAATGGTATCGGGTCTTCTGCTTGAGCAGGGAATGGGTCTAATAACAAAGTTGTTATTTTATTATTCAGATCACTAAGAGTTAGTAATGGCTTGATGGCACATAATTAATCAACTTATTTATTTATTGTGTTACAGAAGAAACCAAAGATACAGAGGTTCCTACAGTGCCTCATAATAGTCAGCTAACTTGGAAACAAGGCAGACAGTTGCTAAGACAGTAAGTATCATATTATATTGGGTTGAAGGTCATTGTACATTGAAGCATAAATATATAGGTTGTTCTGATGTGATTGTGTATGCTTGCTTGAACTCAGAACTATAATTAGTAATTCATCTAAAATAAGTGTTTTAGGCTTTTTTTTTCTTAGAATAGATTTATCTAAAAGGGTAACGTGAATTAATGTAAACTTTTTAGAACCAAAAAGCAGTGCCATAAGCTTTAGGATATTCTTAAACAATTTGGTAATGATAGTTGTATTTTAAACTGCCTTACAGAGCATCTTAGAAGCTCACTGGTGGATTGTGTGTGTACATGACTATAATTCTACTTTCTTTTATTTTTTAGATATCTTCAAGAAGTAGGTTACACAGATACAATATTGGATGTACGATCACAGAGGGTGAGGTCTTTACTTGGGCTTTCCAATTCAGAACCAAATGGCTCAGTGGAGACAAAAAAATTGGAACAGATTCTTAATGGAGGAGAATCTCCCACATCAAAACAGAAGGGACAAGACATGAAAAGGTAGGCAAACTAATATAAATGTTTAGCATAAATGACTGCCTTCAAAGGTATATCTGATAACTAATTTGCTTCATGGTGTAGTTTTCTTTAAAAATGTTATTTTTACACAAAACTAAAAAGATACGCTGGTTGTCCTTGATTAGAAAGATGTATCTATATTTATTTTTAAAAAATCTTATATCTCATCTGAGATAAATTTTCCACCTGCATAACTTAGGGAAATTTGCAATAATTTGGGGTTTCTTTTCTTTCAACTATCAATTAAGTAATTTATTGCTATGCTTCTAACATTATAGTCATGCAATTATAACTACATAATAGTCCTACTATTTCATGGTTAAAATAGTTTATTTTCTGAAAATCTTCATTATGTTACAACTAACAATTTGTTAGTTAAATTAAAAAGTTCATACAAGTTAATTTTTATCCTTATTGACATTTAAATATGAAAAGTTTACAACCAGAACTTTTAAAAATCATATACATAGTTTTCTTGGAATTTATGAATTAGAAATAAGTTTATTTTCTCCTGAGATGAAGTAATTCAGTCTTAGTTCGAAAAGAAACCACAGCTATATTGTAAGTTATTTTCTTTTTGTAGGAACCCCAGTGATGTTCTTGAAACATTTAATTTTTTGGAAAATGCAGATGATAGTGATGAAGAGGAAGAGAATGATATTATAGAAGATATTACAGAAGGAAAAGAAAAACATCGGATAAATAAAAAGCATAAAGTAAAAAGACCAAACAGTTTTATTAACTATTGTTATTTTAAAGATTCTGTTATCCCTTTTTATATAGAGAACTACTACAATAAAATGCCATTCATGGAATAGATAAATTGAGCACCTTAATATTGTTGGTATTTTTTTTATCAGTATCTTGGATAGGCATGAATGGGGGAATGATGTTGATAAATGCTTAATTCTAAGTATATGTATCTGGCTGTTAGTTTTGTACTGCAGCACAATTTTCATCTACCACAATCATGTTAATGGGACTGTTTGTGCATGATGAATAAAAAATATTTAAACAGAATAACACATCCTTTGACAATCCTGAGAAAGGGAAGGAGAAGATTATATAAAACTATCCCATGAATGATAGTACCTTTAATGGTGTTTCTATCAAAACTGACTTGTAGATTGGAAATGAAGGATTAGCTGCTGACCTTACTGATGACCCAGACACAGAAGAAGCTCTGAAAGAATTTGATTTCTTAGTAACAGCAGAAGATGGAGAGGGAGCAGGAGAAGCACGGAGTTCAGGGGATGGGACAGAATGGGGTAAGAAACATAAAAAACGGAAGGAAAACAAAATAATTTGAAAGAAAAACATATTTCAATTATATTAATTTACATTTGTATTCTTTTTTCTCTGTGATATTTTAGGTGATGGTATTTTATTTTTTCATCCTATTTTTAAAAATTCTTCCTGCAAAAGTAAATCTGCTACATTTGTCAAATCATTTTGATAATGTTAAGCAGTTTGTTTTGTATATCTTAGAATTATTGTTTAAAATGAAGTTATGAAATAAGGCAGTGTTTTAATGCATTCCTTAATAACACTGGCAGTCAGTTATTTTAAACATACAAATTTGCACAAAATACAATGCATTACATGTTACATGTCATCATGGAAAATAATTATTAGAAACATTTTTAGTAATGCATACTTTCCTTGAATTTCCACTGAAATTGATGGATCTTGCTAATTTACCCATTCCATTCCATCACCATTAACAAAAATACCCGTCATTATTTTTTGCAACACTCAGAATGCTGCCTGCCATTCAACTGAAGGATTAAATTGTTGATTACTTGTTAACAACATGAGGTTCTTGGTTTTCCATGCCCTTTCCAAAGGTTTACTGTGTTGTCAGTGGAGCTCAGTTGTGTGCAAAAATGCTTTTTAATATGAATTTATTTTTCTGCAATGGATTGTTGTAGACCTTTATTTGTAAAGCAACAGGAAATGACTATATTTTTATGTTTTTCAAATCCATATTATATGTTTTATTAACCTCCAAATTGTTTTCAAAAGAGGTGAGAATGCAACCAAAAATTACAAAGATATTAACATTTTACCTATTTTTAAGATTCCAGTTCTAAATATTATTCAGAGGATGTCTTGAAACAAGAAAGGAAATATATAATCTGAAATACAAAAATTGCAGATTTTTTAATTGTTTAAACTTTTGTTATATATAGAATATGCATTGTGCAGAGTACAGGATCCTCTGTAAAGGTGTAAGATGGAGAAAAGTAGCAGGAAGTATGCTGGGTTGATGTTAGATTTAGACACGTTTTAAAATATACTATTTTAGCAGTGATCTGCCTTTTCTTCTGATATAATATTTTATACTTTGGATTGCATCCAGAAAAGTACTTATGTAAGTGGAAGAAAACTTTCCCACTGTTCTTGCTGTAGCCTACCTGATTAAGAAAAAGCTTGAAACTGCAACAGTTAAAGGTGTTGGGAAGTTCTCCATCTACTAAATTCCCTTAATGTTACATAGACAGTTGGATTTGTTATTATTTCCCACGATTTCTTCAATTCATGTATGAATCAACATGTGCATCAACATGTGCATTGTTATTATTGACAATTGCACAAGTTGATTACTTCCTCTAAGCTAATGAAAGTGGCCTTCTGGCTCATGAGAGATAGGTAAGAAAGATTTTAGTGAATTTATATTTTCTTACTAGAAAACCATTTTTACCTATTGAGTAGAGACTCATTCAGTTATATATGATGTATTCATTAAACAAATTTTCCATTCCATAATTAATAATAGTATACATAAAAAAGAGGTTAGGAAGTTGAAAATAACAGATTTCAACAGTTTGTGTATTTTGCTTCCTTGTAAATTTTTGTTGTTAGTAGTTTAATCCATATTATGTAATATAAGTATAGCATAGTGTTATTAGACAAGAATTTTGAACTTGAGGTCATATTTTTCTTCCTTAAGCAACATTAGGAGTGTATTTCTAATTTATCCTAGAGGGCAGACAGTCCCAATGAAGAAGTAATAATGCTTTTTTGCTTGAAGTTCTGTCTCACAGAAAATTTTCATTTCCTAGAACTAACATAATAGATTCAAGAATTGCTGTTAACTTCAAAGTGTGAACCATCTTGTTAATAAGGACATAAAATGAACAAAGCCTTGATTATTTAGGAAATATTTTAAGGATCTCATCTTATTCAAAAAGTCTTAGCTCTGAAATTTCTTTTTTAAAATATTTTATTAATATTCTGATTTTATTGTGGTTAGAAGTAAGCAATGCTGAGTTCAGTAAACTTAGTTCTAAGTAAGCTAAGACAGTATTAAAGCTTTCATCTTATTCTTCTCCATTAGCTCATGTTTGTTAGCAGGTAGAAATGTAATTAATTTTAAAATAAACTTATTGATGCTAGCTTCAGTATTGAAAATTGAGGAAAATCCAGAACTCTTACTCTTTTTCCAATGATACTTCCAAGTAAAATATGTTACTTTTCTGGGCTTAAAGAGAGAAACATTCAAACATTGATTATGGTTTTACACAAGTCTGTTTCAACCATCATTCTCTGCTGTCCTTAATTTGCTGTGGCTGATTGGATTGTGGTGAATAAAAAGAAGAGTTCAGTCAATAAAATTTTTGAAGATGTCCTACAATGTGCCAAACTATCTTGATTATATTATTATTTTAATAATCTTAATAGAAGAAAACTTTCTATTACCTTTATTGATTTATTTTGGAGCTATAGATATCATTGCATGAAGAATAAGAATAGAGGAGAAATGCATGGTTTCAGAATTCAGTTTGCACTTCCTAAATGGTATTTGCATGAAATAAATTTATTTGCTTATTTAAGTCTGCCTGAATAATTTGTTAATAATGTCTTACTAAAGTTGCAGTAATTGCATACATCAGTTTTAATCAATTAATTTCATATAATTGAATAAGAAAGACATTCAAATTTCTTCTTTATTCTAGACCAATTACCATAAAATGACAGTTTGAAGCATTGTACCAAACAGTACAAGAAACTGCACCTTTAAAGTACTGGAATGTTTTTGAATAACACTTTTTATTGATTAACCTGTAACGCTCACAAATAGTTTGCATTCCCAATTGTTGATTTATTTTTCTTTTAATAATATGTTGCATGTAGACAAAGATGACCTGTCCCCAACTGCTGAGGTTTGGGATGTAGACCAGGGACTAATAAGTAAACTGAAGGAACAGTACAAGAAGGAACGAAAGGGGAAGAAAGGGGTAAAGAGTAAGTGCAGATTCTGAATCTTGAAACAATTTTCTGACATCATGTGGAAAACAATGTATATTGTCATCTTTCCCCTCCATTTTAACGTTTTGCTACTTGGGGGGCAACCAACTTTAACTTTCTGCCAGATAAATCTGAAAATCATAATTTCTGAAGATAAATTATTTTCAATTTACATTGGAGGGAGGAATGTCAGAAGGTGAACAAGTTGTTTTGCTTTGGCGTTGTCTAGGAAAATGGCAGCAATAATTGGAAATTCCTTTCAAAAGCTAATAATGTTGCTTCTGACTATAGTTGCCAAGCATTTAAAATGTTACTTGTTTTTAAGGAGTTATGAAAAGAAGAAAATTAATACTGAATATTATTAATAATCTACAAGTTTGAGATTATTTTATAGTATTGCAAGTGATCACCCCCAATTACCTCCTTTCCTAACCTGCAAGAAATCAGAGTTGTATACTTCTTAACTGCTATTGCTGTCTGCAAAAATTACATGGAATGCAGGCTTATTTTATAGGTGACATTCGTTTGGAAAACAAATCAAATGATAGGAGAGATTTGTTGGAGAGGCGAGTGATGGATTGAATTGGATTTGATGTAGTGACTTGGTACAAGCAAGTGGTACAAGCAACTCTTCTGTTATTCTGCAGAATTGCTACAAGGACTCTGATCCTTTGTTTTCCTTAATTTTCCTTAAATTTATGGAATTCTGAAGGAAAAAAAGTTAAGTTGGTGAAAGAAAATCATTTAGAAAAATTAAGTTAGTGGTGAAAGATGAAAATCAATAGGAATAACTATTGATGGCTAACAAATGTATTTATGAATTCTTAATTTTGGACTGAAAATCATTTTAAAGCTTAATTTATACCATATTTAATATGGTAATAAAATGTCATCACTCTCTTTCACTGAACATAACTCTTAAACTAGGAGATGTATAGTCCAGAGATGAAGAATTCATAGAAGAGAATATACTACAGCAAGCAAAGATAGAACACTTATTTGCCAGAGGAAAAGGGTTGTTATTATTATTATTTGTTTATTTGATTCTATATTGACGCTGCCCAAATCTGGAAGCTTGCAATATAATAACACACATATACAGTATAGTATATAACATAAGGAAAACAAAGTAGAAATGCAATCAAGTAAAATAAAAATACAATAAAGAAAATAATGAAAAATCCAAACAACTAACCCCCAAAGATATACAACATACAGGTAGTTCTCAACTTACAACAATTCATTTAGTGACTGTTCAAGGTTACAACTGCACTGGAAAAAAGTGATTTATTTTTTTATAGTTATGACCTTTGCAGCATCTCCATGGTCATGTGATCAAAATTCAGATGTTTGGCAACTGATTCGTATTGATGACGCTTGCAGTGTCCCAAGGTAATGTGATTCCCTTTTGTGACTTTCTGATAAACGAAGTCAGTGGGAAAGCCAGATTCGCTTAACAACAAGGTTACTAGCTTAACAGTGATTCACTTAACGACTGGCAAGAAATGTCATAAAATGGATCAGATGTCTGACTTAAGAACAGAAATTTTGGACTCACTTGTAGTCGTAGGTTGAGAACTACCTGTATATGAAGCACATCTGCCAAAAGTTTCCATTCACTCCACCTCCAGGTTGGGAGAACAACCACATTTTTGAGGCCCTGTATAATGCTATCAGAGGAAATTCTGGGATCTTAAAGGGGATGCTGTGCACTTCCTGAGTCCCCCAAAATTACACTGTTTTCTTGAGGTGACCTGAGCATACCCACTCTGTTTGCATGTATCATCCAGGCAGAAATCACAAAAAAATAGGTGGGCCCTTAAATAAGAAGAGCTTTATAGGTAATAACCAACATCTTGAATTGCACTTAGAAGCACACTGGTAATCACTGCTACTTATGAAGTAAGGATATCACATCACTGATTGTATTCTGGGCCAACTAAAGCTTTTCAAGGCAGACTCACATAGAGGGCATTGCAATAGTTGAACAGCTGCAGAAAAGATAATCATTAGCTGTTTCATGCCCTTTTAACTGAACGCTAGTAGCTACTCTTCTTGATTTTAGTTTGCAGTGATCTGTTTATGGCGATGCTGATATAGTGCTCCAGTGTATCAATTCTGGATTACGCTAAGTAGAATTCTGCTCATATAATCAGTTTAATATTTTCTAAAAGAAGTGGGAAATGGGTTTAAGGCAGGAGGAACTTATATGATAAATAATATACTCAGTTTGCAGGACTGAAGTTTACATTCTAACTCTATCTCAGATGTACATTCTATCAGTAGAATTTACTTACAGGTGTGTACATGTAAAAGAAACACACAAAAAGAATAATGCAATTGAATATTTTCACCCTTTTAGTAATATTTTAAAAATGTGCTTTAGAGGATTATTTTTCTTTTTTTTCTTCCTTCTTCTTTTCTTTTTTGCATGTTAACTTGCATTACTTGTTTAACCCAGTACTAATTGCATTATTCTGAATGGGCCTTTCCTGCCTCTTCTGAAATGTTTCTAATCTGTTATTATTTTCTATCTCAAATACAAGCATCTGTTAGAAGATTATTGAAATTGCAGTACAGAATTGATCTAATGAATAACAGGTTTTAATTTTGAAAATTCTAAAAGATTATTATTTTTGAAGTCCATAATCTTACTAAGCATAGCAAGAAACTAAAGGATTAGTTTATATGCAGCTGAAGAAAGTGTGAACATTATTTGCTTTTTTCATCACATTATTTTACAAGCAGAACAGCTCCTTTATTTTGACAATTGGTGAAAGTACTGGAGAAATCAGAAGTACTTATGTTAGTGCTTGAAATAATCTGAACTGTATGTATGTATGTGCCATGTATTACAGGTAGTCCTTACAACTTGCAGCCATTTGTTTAGTAACAGTTCAAACGTTGCTGAAATGATTTACAACTGATCCCCACATTTACTACCATTGCAGCATCCCCTATGGTCATGTGATTGTGGTTCTGGTGTTTGGCAGCTGTTGCACATTTATGATGGTTGCAGCATCCCAGGGTCACTTGACCACCATTTGTGATGGCTTCTGATAATCAAAGTCAATGGGGAAGCCAACAGAGAAGCTTGCAATGGAGAAGTCAGCAGGCATGTCTCACTTAACAAACCTGGTGAGTCACTTAACAACCTCAGCCAAAAGAGCATAAAATTGTATGTGGTCACATGTTGCCTCACTTAATGACCACACCACTTACAGTTGTGCTCATAAGTTTACATACCCTGGTGATTTTGGCCGGATAACATGCACGCAGGTTGGCACAAAGGGGTTTGAATGGCTATTAAAGTTAACCATCCTCACCTGTGATTTGTTTGCTTGTAATTAGTGTGTGTGTATAAAAGATCAATGAGTTCCTCGACTCCTGACAGACCCTTGAATCTTTCATCCAGTGCTGCACTGACGTTTCTGGCTTGTGAGTCATGGGGAAAGCAAAAGAATTGTCAAAGGATTTGCAGGAAAAGGTATTTGAACTGTATAAAACAGGAAAGGGATATAAAAAGATATCCAAGGAATTGAGAATGCCAATCAGCAGTGTTCAAACACTAATCAAGAAGTGGAAAATGAGGGGTTCTGTTGAAACCAAACCACAGTCAGGTAGACCAACTAAAATTTTAGCCAGAACTGCCGGGAAAATTGGGATGCAAAGAAAAACCCACAAATAACTTCAGGTGAAATACAGGACACTCTGAAAACATGTGGTATGGCTGTTTCAAGATGCACAATAAGGAGGCACTGGAAGAAAGATGGGCTGCATGGTCAAGTCACCAGAAGAAAGCCATTACTACGCAAATGCCACAAAGTATCCCACTTACAATACGCCAAACAGCACAGACACAAGCCTCAAACCTTCTGGCACAAAGTCATTTGGAGTAATGAGACCAAAATTGAGTTTTTTGGTCACAACCATAAACGCTACATTTGGAGAGGAGTCAACAAGTCCTATGATGAAAAGTACACCATTCCTACTGTGAAACACGGAGATGGATTGCTGATGTTTGGGGGATGTGTCAGCTACAAAGGCACAGGAAATTTGGTCAGAATTAATGGCAAGATGAATGCAGAATGTTATCAAAAGATACTGGAGGAAAATTTGCATTCATCAGCCCGGAAGCTGCACATGGGACGTACTTGGACATTCCAACATGACAATGATCCTAAACACAAGGCCAAGTCGACTTGTCATTGGCTACAGCAGAATAAAGTGAAGGTTCTTGAGTAGTGTCCGGACCTCAATATCATTGAGCCATTCTAGGAAGATCTCAAATGTGCAGTTCATGCATTACAGGAAGCCCAAAAATTTCCAGGAACTGGAGGCTTTTTGCCAGGAAGAATGGGCAGCTTTACCATCTGAGAAGATAAAGAGCCTCATTCACACATACCACAAAAAACTTCAAGCTGTCATTGATGTTAAAGGGGGCAATACACTGTATTAAGAACTGGGGTATGTTTTGATCAGGGTCATTTGGGTAGTTTCTGTTGTCATTATGATTTAAAAAGAGTAAACACAGTTGATTGATAATAAATGGCTTCAGCCAACCACTAACCATGAGTGAAAGAAAAGTTTTTGTGATATCATTCATATTCTCAGAAAAATGGCCAAGAAAGCATAAATTCTGCCATAGTATGTTAACTTATGAACACAACTGTAATGATTTTTTCAATCCCTTTTGTAGTCATAAGTCATAGACTATACGTATTTTTTAGTCAAAAGGATTTTTTGTGGGGTAGTGTAGAACATCCAAGTAAGTAATGTAATTAGTATTTGCCAAAAGGATAATACTAAAAAATGTTTGCAATAATTATGGCCTGATTTAACCCTAATGGTCTACAAGTGGTATTCTAAACCTTTTTGAGCAAACCAGATACAGAACATGACCAGAAAAGCTAATTCTACTTTATTGTAAGGTTACATTAATAGAATTTTGTAAGTCTGAAGGTACAGACTGCCATCATCACTTGTAATCACCTGATTAATTAGGGTAGGTCTTTCCTAAGTTTCTTCACCTCGCTATCAATCCATTGGAGGTTTTCTCTCTCTCCTCTCTCTCTCTCTCTCTCTCTCATTTTAATGTTTCCTAGGCAACATCTCTCCCCCTCATCTCACGAGTACATATAGGTACTCAAAGTCCAAACAAAGGCTTTGAGTATGTACAGGTACTCAAAGTCTAAACAAATACATAAACCATTTCTGTAAATAAGATTTATTTATTTATAAAATTTATTTGCTACCCATCTCATATCCAATGACTGGGTGGCTTACAATATATATTTTATTGTTATAAATCAACAGTAAAAAAAATCTAGTACATTAAAGGCAACATTAACTTAAGGGCCAAATGCCCTGTGGAAAAATGCTGTTTTGACCTTTCTGAAGCAATTTTTGAAGTAATTGTAGAAGAGAGACCATCCTTAATTATGGTGCAGAATGTGGTATAAAAGGAAGTAAATATTAAGAATATCTGTTACCTGGCCCATGTCCCATAAATCTTGTTGAAGAAAACAGAGCTGAAATACATCCTCTATAAATGACTGGATGCAGATTTGGTTTTGGTCAGGTATTGCCAATCCTGATATTGTACTTTTAAGGGTGCTAATCAGGAGTTCGAATTCGAACTGGATGTGTATTGGCAACTTGGCAAGAATAGGTATTTATGGTTGCTCTAAAAACAAATTTTGTACCACATATAGCTTCTGAGACTCCTCCAAAGGCAACCAAACAGAATGCATTGTAGTAGACTACTTAGGTGGTGATAAGGGTGCTAATTCCTATTGTTGGAGCATTTTAGGCAGAGAGGGTTGTAACTGGTGCACTTCTGAAGCTGGGAAAAAGTTATCCTGCCTGTAGTTTCCACCTGTTTGTAGTATAAACCAGCAGTTCAGGAGAACCCCAAAATCATCTACCAACCCCTTGGGGGAGAGAGTAACACTATAATGTAACTACCAAAACATTTGTTGTAAGATTGCCCTAAAATTTATCAAACTCTGTCTTGGTAAGACTTAGACAACATGTAGAATCTTACAAACTCCAGAAACCAATTTGGGACTTTCACAGCATGTCCCGTTCAGGATGAGATGGATTTTTTTAGTATAGGTCAGTGGCGGCTAACCTTTTCTTCGTCACATGCTGAAAGTGCCTGGACCCATAATGCAATGCATGCGCCTACCCACCCCCTGTGCATGCGGGCGTGACCTCCCCGCCGCACCTATGCACGTGCACCCCGCGATTGCACGGAAGATACCCGACAATCAGCTGGCTGTCGGGATGCGCATGTGCAGTGCATCTCTTCTTGGCGACAGCTCACGTGCCGGCAGAAATGGCTCTGCATGTCACTTCTGGTGCACATGCCATAGGTTCGCCATTACGAGTATAGGTAGTCCTTGTTTTATGACCACAGTTGAGCCCAACATTTCTGTTGCTAAGCAAAACAGCTGTTAGTGGGTTTTGCCCCATTTTACAGCCTTGCTTGCACAGTTAAGTTAGTAACATGGTTGTTACGTGAATCCAGCTTCTCCATTGACTCCACTTGTCAGGCGCAAAAGATGATCACATGATCCTGGGACACTACAGGCATCAGAATATAGATAGGTTTATAGTTGCTTGAACATTTTGGATAATTTGACAAAACATTCATTGCTAACTATAATGTAGAGATGCTAAGAAAACACGTTTTTATTTATGAGTATTAGTCAGTTATAGATTTTAGTGGTTTTAATGAGTCAAGCTTCTTCAATGTATTTTCAACATCAGGAAAAAACAAATGTAGCTTTCATAGTATCAGAGAATTGCTTTCGTCCTGTTTCCCTATCTGTATTTCTTAAAGCTAGATGGATCTCATTTCTTTTGCTTTTCTGGACTTCCAGTTTGGGGCATTTTCTATCTTATTTCTGTGGTGTAATTCTGGGATTTCTGGGGCTACAAAACATATATTTAGCATTGAATACATATAGTACAATTGTCCACCCTGATCTGCTCAGGGGAAATAGATGAAATAGAAATTCTATGTTGTATCTCAATTGTTATTTTTTTCCAACCCAGGAGTGTATTAGAAATAAATTGTATAAAATAGGTCAGTAATCTTATCAACAAGATAATTTGCTGAAAATTGAACAAAATAGAACAAAATTTGAGATCAAGGCAAAAGAAAGATTAGGTTTGAAAATGGGCTGAATCTGGCCAAGGCTGTAGATAATTTTTTAAAAAAAAAATTCCTCCAGTGTATCTCTGAAATAGGTAGTTGGACCATAGCTTGGAATGTTATGGATTCCCTCATTCTCAAACCTCCTCCCTTCCTGTTTATATGACTCAGAGTGGAGCTATTAGTAAAGAAGAATTCCAGAAAGTATGTGCTAAGTGGATTTCCTATCTTTTATATGAGAAAATGTTTTTTGTATTTTTTAATTCCTTCATTGGAGCTACATCTCATATTAACAGTTCCAGATCGGCTTTCTGGTTATTAATGATGGTTCTAAACATTAAGTGTGCTTTGATACTTATAAATTACTTTTTTATTTAAAAACCCAGAAAAGGGGAAAGTTGACAGTTTGTTGCCTCCCAGTCACCCAATCTTTGTTCCCCTTTTGGTAATCAAACCTCTGTCTGGTATTATCAATTAATAAAAATGCTGGGGTGGTTTGTACATAAAGTCTATGGCCTTTCATAAGGAGTTCAGACATTCCAAGTTTTCCCCTCTTTTACCGTAAGCAGAACCCCAGCAATTTAATTTAAACAAAAAAACAGTCTGAATTCTTTTTTTTTTTTCTTTTTTTTTGGAAGCTTCATTTTTAATTCTTTTTCAAATATGCAAAATATGTTTTATGAAAGCATCTTTATTTAATAACATCACATTAAAATAATATTAATTAGCAAACTGGGCGTGTAAATGGATATCAATTTAAGAGGGAGCAATAAAATGAACTTTGCTGCTGACATTAATTTACAGGGGTCAACAGGACAAAACTGCACGACATGATATCTGATCTGGGCGATGATGAGCTACCCCACATCCCTTCAGGAGTCATTAATCAATCTAGGTCACCCTCTTCTAGAATGACTGATCATGAAGGTGCAAGAGCAGAGGAAGGTACAACAAATTCACCTATTTATTTATATTTAGAAATTTTGATATAAAATACATTTATAGCCCATATGAACCAGTTGCCTATATTAAGATGCCCTTGCAACTTGGTTCTGAAAAGACTACCACTTTACATTCACCAGCTTTTGTTTTGAATTATCAAAAATTTATACTTAAAATTGAGTTTAAAATATATACATAGAATAAATGAACTTAATAAAACAACAGAGAGCAACAAATTCTAAGAAATGAATGAAATAAATTTTCTGGTGAGGAATGATTTCCTGTTTTATTCATTCTAGTGTAAGATTTTCCCTCCAAAAGTTGCATTCACAGTAACTGATAGCACCAATAAAGAGTAGAATTGATTTTTAGCAGTTACTCATATATTTTGGAATATGTAAATAAGTGCTAATCAAAATCTACATATTCATTAGTTTTGAATATTTAGTGCAATTTATGCTCCTAAAAATTCCCTCCAGCAAAATAGAACCTTTCCTTAAAAAACAATTTTTTTCAAGTGAACAAATGGATTACAATGTAAATCTTTGGTATATTAGATTTATGTAGAAAACTATGGACATTCACACAAACATCTTGACATTAGTTGGTCCACTGTTACTATTATTAGTCCTGGATCCTTTATTGTCAGCAAGATATGTACTTTGCAGAATCACAGAATTGTTGTCAAACCTGATTAACAATGTGTGAGTCATTAAGCTATTTAAAGAGATATGTGGTCACTTTTATGATATCCATTGTAGCGGGATGGATCTGCTTATGATGCATAGAGGAATGGATGTATGACCTCATTCATCACAGTGCAGAATTCATGTTGAAGTTTATTTTAAATAAATAAACAATAAATAAATTTTGTCTTTGTCAATACTAAAGTATATCCTAATAATGGAAAGGATTGGCTTTTATTTTTATTTTATTTTTCAACTATGCTCTGCATATGTATGATTTTTTTTTTTTTGGTCACTTTCTTGTTTTGTAATTTCACTGAGCTCTCCAATACCAAGAAATACAAACAACATCATTATAAATAAAACTACACCATTCTTTATATATTTTTTTCTCTAACAATAATCGCAATGAAAACTACTGTATTTTTTGGAGTATAAGACTTCCCCCCCCCCCCAAACAAAGGCGAAAATTTGGGTGCATCTTATACACTGAATGTAGCCCCGCCCGCCCCCACTCTTTGACCTCTGCCTCGCAGCAATTTGCCTCCTTACAGCAAACAATCTGTTTCAGCTTCAGCATAGCTTGATTAGCACAAGCAGCTGATTGTCGGCCTCCCAAGCATCAGCTGTTTCAGGCTGCAGGGATTGCCATAGCCTATTGTTGCCTCCGCGCATCTCCACATCCCATTTTCAGCCTCCATGCGCCCCATTGTCGGCCCGTTCCAGGCGGCAGGGATCGGAACAGGTGGAAAATAGGGTGTGCGGAAGCAGTAATAGGCGATGGCAATCCCTGCAGCCTGAAACAGCTGATCCTTGGGAGGCCGATCCAGTTGACAATCAGCTGCTTATGTTAATCAGGCTGTACTGAAACTGAACCGTGCTGTTTGCTGCGAGGAGGCAAATTGCTGGGAGGCAGAGGCAGATTTTTTTTTCTTGTGCTAATCAGGCTGTGCTGAAACTGAAACGGGCTGTTTGCTGCAAGGAGGAAAATTGCTGGGAAGCAGAGGCAGATTTTTTTTCTTGTTTTCCTCCCCAAAAGCTAAGTGCGTCTTATACTTTGGAGCGTCTTATTCTTCGTATTTATACTCCGAAAGATACAGTAATTGATCTTAACATGAAGAGTGTGCATAAAAGATTTCTAAGATAACTAACCTGATATTTCAGTGTAAAGAGAAAATCCTTAAAATTCATATGAAAAGATCCAATGGTTTGAAACCATTTCGCTTTATTAATTAATTTGAAAGAATGATTCATTTTTTCAAACTTTTTTGTGGAGGAAAAAAGCATATCTACAATTAACAGATCCACTGGATGTTCCCTACTGAAGGAAGATGGATTTTTGTTGCTTCCAATGCCACCTTTCATTTTCTTTTAAAGAGTACCACTTCCCTGTAAAACAGCTTTTCAGTATATAAAGCTTTGTTCTTGGAGTAATGGAAGGAGAAGAATATAGGAATATTTCCTTTCTTGCTTTGTCCTATAAGCAGAATTCTGCTTATACTTAAAACCTAGCTATTCCAATATTGTATGATGTATTTAAAAACAATTTATTGGATTTTTACCTTCTGCGATCTTCACACACTCTCATTGGCTTACAAATAAAATAAAACTCCAATAAAAAGCAAACATGCCAAAAATACAAAAAAGGAATAAAATCCATAAAAAGCATAGAATACCAAAACAATGAGCTGCCATTACTCAAACACCTTTTAACATTATTTCAGAAGATGACAACAGTAGGAACAAATCTAACTTCAAGTGGGAAGTCATTCTGAAGGGCTGGCACTATCAGCAAACAACAACACTAATGAATATCGCTTCTCCTTGACCTCCCAAAAGTAGGAAACAATCAACTGCTTCTTCCAGCAAAATCATAATGGTTCTGTTAGGGAGATGCAGTCTTTTAGGTAGCTTGCTGCCAAGACATAAAGAGCTTTGTTGGTTTACGCTGTACTTTATTTATCGACTGACTTAATTTATATGGCTGCCCATTTCACATAAGTTACTCTATTGTAAGCTACCCAGAGCCACTTATGCGAGCATCTGAGCTGTGTATCATGTACCAGCTGATGCTTCCATATGGCAGCCATGTGTAAGGTGCATTGTAGTGGTCTACATATGTAGTGATGAGAGCATGAGTCATTGTTGCAAAAAAATTTGTTCATTAAAAGAAAATATAATGGGAAAACTGTTTTGTAAAGCAGTTGTGTAAGAGATAGCAAAGAGGAAATAATCCCCATAATCTCTTCTGCATCTCTTCTCCAAGTCTTTTATAAAGAGGTTCTTTGGAGACATGCAAGAGAATAGGATGATGCAGAGGAGAATTGAGGGAACATGTCCATTGCAAGAATGGAAAAGAATATGCTTTTGAAAAGGTGAAGCAAATTAGTTGTATTCTTTCTTATGTATAATCCTTAATATTTAAAATAGGTATGATAATTAAAATTGACCTTGACTTTCTGCAATAATTGATAATTTTATATAATAATTGAAATAATTCTGCATAACACTTTGTGATGTCATGTTACATTATGATATTCTTAAATTATAAATTGCAAAACTATTCAGACAAGCATAAAAGCTCTGCATTTATGCTGGGTATATTTTTATATTTAGTTAAGTCTTTAAACTCATATATTAATTTACATATATTAATAAACAGTGTTTTGTTTCTTATAGCTGAGCCAATAACGTTTCCATCTGGAGGGGGCAAATCGTTTATTATGGGTTCAGATGATGTATTGTTAAGTGTACTAGGCCTTGGGGATCTTGCAGATTTGACTGTGGCAAATGATGCAGATTACAGTTATGATGTAAGTATAATATGTTTAACACCTAATATCTTTTAACTGAACCAATATCTTTTAACTGAACCAAGAATTTTGGGAATGTTTAAAACAGTCTTTCCCATCCTTGGCAGTTCAGGTACATGGACTTCAAATCCCAGAACACCACAACTTGCATGGCTATTGATACAAATTCTAAGAGTTGGAATCCACAACCTGGAAGTGAAAAACACTGCTTTAGAACTATCAATAATGCTGCAGTATTGTGATATACATTTCTCTAAATCTTGTAAATAGATAATTTCTGATTGGAGAATGAACACAAAAAAATATACTGTGTCACGTATTTATTGAATGCATTGAATGAACATTTACTGTCTTCATTGGGAAAATTATGTGAAGATTTAGGTTTAGTAGTTGGTAGTACCTCATTTAGCAGGAACTAAATGTACCTATCCCAAGAACATTGGTTTGGAAGTATTTTGCCATAACATTTTTATTTAGGTTAAGAACACAGTTGTGATTTAGCTACTCTAAAATACAAGATTTCTTCTCTTGTAGATATGCATGCAATTTAGGATTATTCTAATGCTGTTTGTTTAAACAAATTTTCAGTTCACAGATAGCATGTCTACAAGTTGTTTGTACAATATAATCCATTACTTCTCAATAATTAAAATCTTTTCCAGATCCTGATACTGCAAAGGAGCCTCAATTTATGATATCCCCATTATTATATGTTTCATGGTTGAGATAACATGCCTCAGGAAATGAAATGTAGGCTTTTTCTCCAAACCTAATATTTCTCACTGATATCAGAAAGTTCCACTTTTGATTCATTTATCCCAGAATATTGTTCCAAAAGTCTAATGGAACGTTGGGATGAGATTTCAAGCATTCTAGGCATTCTATTAATCATTTCCCATGTTTTATGATAGTTTTGCTAAAAAATGGCATTCATTTCTGGTTTTTAGCAAAACTGTGGCCAGTGCAAACCATTAGTTGCATTATCAGTTAACAACTGCTGCAAACAGGATTGTAAAATTGCATTAGTCACATGATCAACCCCTTTTAGAGTTGTCACAACTTACAACTCTAGTGGTTAGGTTCCATTACAATCATCAGTTGAGGACTACCTATATATGTTAACATTATTCATTTTTATTTTAGCTGCCAGCCAATAAAGATGCTTTTAGAAAAACATGGAATCCTAAATATACATTGCGCAGCCATTTTGATGGAGTGCGAGCGTTAGCTTTCCATCCTGTGGAGCCTGTGCTGGTTACAGCCTCTGAGGATCATACCCTAAAACTTTGGAACTTACAAAAAACAGTACCTGCCAAAAAGCAAGTATTTTTTTACATATGTTAAAGAACATGGAAGTTCTGACGTTTTAATACTTCATGATAAAGCTCACAGATTGCCTTTTGACATTTTTATTTTAGGAGTGCCTCATTAGATGTGGAACCTATTTACACATTCAGAGCCCATATGTAAGTATTTTTTTTTTAATATTCTTGACAAATGCTTTTCCAGGTAGCGCCCAAAAAGTTCTACATCAGAAATTGTTGATTCATTGGCTACACAGTCATGCATTTGATTTTATTTAACTTTAAAACAAAGCAATCACTTATATTCTGAATATATTTGTAATCTTTAAAAATGGCTTATATTAATTATGTAATTTAGAAAAAATCTGCATCAAACATAGCAGCCTACACATATATATATAAAATACAGATTCTTAGATGATAAATGAGAAAAGAGGAAGGACTTAGTACTTTTAATCAATGTATTAAATATGGCTTACAGTATATACAACTTATACCTTCAATAGCAAAAGTCATATGTTTATGTTTAAAAAAAATGATAATCTGAACTATCTAAATTCAAAATTTTAATTGTTCTATTAATAGTAATAGTACTCCCTTTGTTTTAAAATAGTGGATCTGTGTTATCCTTGGCAATTAGTTCTAATGGAGAACAGTGTTTTAGTGGTGGTATTGATGCAACTATTCAGTGGTGGAATATGCCTAGCCCTAATGTGGACCCTTATGATACATATGGTAAGCCTTATCTATAAATGTTGTGATGTGTAATATCAATCGCATAATTAACCTCTCTGAGATAACCTTTATGTTGCATAATAAACTGAATGATTGTTCATATTAATTTAAATTAAAATGTTTTCTGTGATCTTTGGATTGATCTCAGTCAAGATCCATATAGCATGTTAATTAAGCTGTGAACTAATATGTCATTAGTAGTGTTAAATTTGGCAGTTATGGTTTTAGTAAAATAGTTGTAGCATGAGCTAAATTAATACTAGTTGACAAAAATTCTGATTTAAATTTTTTTTTTAATATATATTTTCCTACAGAGCCAAATGTTCTAGCTGGCACATTAATCGCTCACACAGATGCTGTCTGGGATCTCGCTTATAGTGGTATAAAGAATCACTTACTATCTTGTTCAGCAGATGGCAGTGTTAGGTTGTGGAATCCACCTGAAAAAGTGACCTGCATTTGCACTTACAATGGAAATAGAGGTGAGCTATGAGAAGGTCTTTACTTTTTAAAGAAAGTTCAGAAGATTAAATTAAATAAACTAAAGAGTTGATTAATAGTAATTATAAAAATCAAAATTATAATAGGTAATTGTAATAATTCTAACATAAGTTTTTTAACCACATGCTTTGGCTATACATTGATGCCATCTTGGTAGATCTGGGACAGTGGTCCAGATAGTGTGGGAAGAGATGGTATCCTATCCATTTATTTTAGGATGACAAAGATATTAGCAATCAATGGAATTGGTTTTAAAGAAAAGTAGGTAGGTTTTAATTGTTTTCCAGATAGATTTATTATGTTATGAGTTAGTACTTCTAAGAAAACACTGGATGAAGAAATGTAAAAATTTGGGTGTAACAAATAAATAGTTTTTACAGAATTTATGAGGGTTTTTTTCCCTGTATGCTTTAGAATATGGAATACCCACATCAGTTGACTTCATAGGCTGTGATCCTGCCCATATGGTGACATCGTTCAGCACTGGCAACACTGTCATCTATGATTTGGAAACATCTCAGTCACTGGTAATGCTGTCCTCACAAACAGATTCTGGTAAATTTGTTTCTTTTATTTCATTTTCATTGCTTGAACTTAATCTTATAAGCATATTGCATCAAATTGACCAAATTGTTTTGCATATCAAATTGAAATGGTTCAAGTTCAAACATTCAGGATAATGAATTGCAATGAACCATTGTTTGTCTTGTGCTCTGATGCTCTTATTTGCACACAAAGAAGAGAAATTAAAAGTTGTATGATGTCAGCTTGCTGCAAATTTAAGTTTTGCCATTTATAAACATTGGATGGATGGAAATTTTTACACTCTGGTTTTCAAAGGAAACAAAGAATCAGAGGAGAAAGTCAAATTTGAAATTTGCTATTATTCCATCTCATAATGATTGCAGTTTTTAACTTCTGTGGAAACTTCTGCCTGTATCCTCAATGGAAATTTCCTAGTAGATTTGTCTAATTTAATAACATAGTCATAGTTTTAATGATTTTGAAATAGGAGGCTAAAGCAAACTGTCTACGTTAATGCTTCCTTAATACCTTACGCTTAAAGTGCAATAATTGCTTATGTTTCGTTCCTAGGATTGCAGTCAAGCAATCACATTAACAGAGTAGTAAGTCATCCTACGCTTCCTGTAACAATAACAGCTCATGAAGATAGACACATAAAGTTTTTTGACAATAAAACGGGTAAGGAAATAAAAACAGAAGGTGTTTTTTTTTAAATTTCCAAGTTTTATATTTCACCTTTTTCTTTACATTTTGGCTTATTTCAATGTTTGCCCTGTCTTTTTTATTATTTGGTTTTTTTCTTCTGCTTTTCTTCCATAATCCCCATATTCTTCATATTCTTATTTGCCTTTTTGTCTTTTTCTTTCTTTGATCTGTTCTTTCATAATAAAAGTGATTGAAAGAGAGCACATTCATCTGACTGTAATGGTTGGTCTCAGCTTGGTTCCTTAAGCTTAACATTAGAAGTATTATTTGATGAATTTTTTAAAGGGATTAAGAAGTCATTAGGATTTAAATTTTGAAGGCTTTTGTGGTGAATCAGAGAATGTTTTCAATAGTTACTTAACTATTTCATGTTTCTATTAATCTGTTAATGACTATAATTACATTTTGAAATCAGGTTTATCAATCCAATAAGTATTTCATCCTGGCACTCACAAGGGATCAGAATAAAATTTAGTACATTACAAAAGAAGATAAATAGTATATTAACTGGGCTTTTGCAAAAGGTGATCACATGACCCCAGAAGACTGTAACCATCATAAATATGAGTCAGTTGCATCCAAATGTAAATCACATGAGCATGGGGATGCTGCAGTGGTCATAAGTGTGAAAAATAGTCATAAGTCACTTTTTCAGTGCCATTAGAATAGAATAGAATTCTTTATTGGCCAAGTGTGATTGGACACACAATTGGACACACTTGGTGCAAATGATCTCAGTATACATAAAAGAAGAGATACATTCGTCAAGAATCAAGAATCATAAGGTACAACACTTAATAATAGTCATAGGGTACAATAAGCAATCAAATCATACTAGGAACAGTCAATATAGATCATAAGGATACAAGCGACAAAGTTACAGTCATACAGTCACAAGTGGGAGGGAATGGGCTATATGGAGTGATGAGAAGGTTAAAAGTAATAGTAGTGCAGACTTAGTAAATAGTTGGACAGTGTTGAGGGAATTATTCGTTTAGCAGAGTGATGGCATTTGCGAAAAAACTGTACTTGTGTCTAGTTGTTCCGGTGTGCAGTGCTCTATAGTGTCGTTTTGAGGGTAGGAGTTGAAACAGTTTATGTCCGGGATGTGAGGGGTCTGTAAATTTTTTCACAGCCCTCTTTTTGACCTGTGCAGTATACAGGTCCTCGATGGAAGGCAGGTTGGTAGTAATTGTAACCGAACAGTCATTAAACGAGCTATTGTAAGTCAAGGACTACCTATGCATCCATAATTTAGCATACTGTTCTTCAACAGAAAGAATTGTACATAATTTCCAGTGAAAAGAACAGTGTATCCTAGCAACTATAACCACAGCTTCCATTTCGATATACTTTGTGGCAATATGAAGTTTGATAATATTTTAGTGTATTGAAAGGAGAACTCAACTTTCAGAATTTGTTTGAATGGGTTTTTCAGCCTTGCCACCTAATGAGACAAAATGATCCATCTCCATTATATTTCTGGACAGCCATTGAGATGACCTTGAAGAAACCCTGCAGCAACAAAAACAGAAATATGTTTTTGTAAGTTGTTGCCATGTAGTTTTTTTCAGAGTCACTTCTGTTGCTCTCTACAATTTCTAGCATTTTTGCAGAATGAATCTGTTTTATCAATCAAGACTGAAGCAAAAGACCGTGTGCGTTTTTCTAAGTGTTATGTGCACTACAAATTTAATGTTTTTCTTTTGATATTATCATTGTCGCATGTCAATTGTTTAAATTTTGTACCACATGTATTTTTTCTTCCAATCATATAATTATTTTACCCTTTAATAAAGTATAAGTCTTTATTCTTCATATATATATTATGTACATTAATATTAGGTAAAATGATCCATTCGATGGTTGCTCATTTGGATGCTGTCACAAGCTTAGCTGTGGATCCTAATGGAATCTACCTGATGTCTGGAAGTAAGTTAACAAGCTCCTGTATTGCCAAGAGACTCTGTCATAATGCATTTTTGTTTTAGTTATAACACTTCTGTTTACCTCTTTGTTCAGGTCATGACTGCTCTATTCGATTATGGAACTTGGACAGCAAAACATGTGTGCAAGAAATAACAGCCCATAGAAAAAAGCTGGATGAATCCATTTATGATGTAGCTTTTCACCCTTCAAAAGCATACATTGCAAGTGCAGGTGCCGATGCCCTTGCCAAAGTATTTGTGTGACACAATAAAGCAAGCCTGCACCTTGATAGCAGGTTTGCCTGGACAAAAAGAGGGACTGCATCACTGCCATCACTGTCAAGGTTACTGATGACACTACATGTAACCAGCCTCAGCAGAGACTGTGTTTGGGGCAGGTATAAATTGGTCAGATTATGATCTCGTGAATAATACTGGGCTGATTCATTTAACTGTAATTACTGTATTTTGGGGGTGGGGGGGTGGGAAAGCAACCAGTATTTGTAGCCTTGACTGGATACGAACTGAGCATTTGTTCTTTAGGTGTGTCTTTAAACGAACGTGGAATCAAATCTTATTAAATACGTTTATTTTGGACTCTGTGTGCTGCCTTAGGGTTAGGAATGTGGTGCTCTTGTGGGGGTGAGGTGGGGGGGAGTGAGCTCCAAGAGTAGCTTTCTTTGCATCTCTTAGTAATTTCTGTTTATCGGTCAAATGCCACAGAATCCCCTTTTAAACTTTTATTTTGCTTTAAAGAAAAAGGAACTAACTTAAAATATTTAGCATTAGTTGCACAAAATATTTCGATAAAATTCTAGTTTTTATATGTCTTTTATATATTTAGCCTGTCATAACAGTGCTCAAGATTGTATGGATGACGGTTTTTCTGCATTATAGTATCCTAAACCAGAGATCTTGCTGCCCTGTCACAACACGGTTCCCTTTGTTGCCTAACAAAGCTCTGCTATGTCCTTTCAATAGGACACTAATTCATCATCACTGCATTACCGGTTTCCTAAAGGACTGTAAAAAAAAAGCGTGTAAAAGGAACACAGAGGAATAAAACATGTCCAGCCCTTCCAATGAACTTTTAAAATTAATCTTGACATCCTATCACTATGTGATATTTTGTACATCTTACTGTATTTACGAGATTATTTATCAAGGTTTATCCATCTGGCTAATGGCCTATTATTTATTTCACTTTTTGTTGGACTTTATATTCTTTTTATGTAGTATGTTAATGGGCCCTGTATATCTATTATGGCATTCTTTGAACAGTCTAAAATAGACTAAAAATGGGACATGTAATAGTTTTTAAGTTACAGACAAACTTTTTTTTCCCAGCTAAGCGTCTGGATTAAAGTTGATTCCAAGAAGTTGTTTCAGAACTTCTGGAGTGAAAATGTTTTTATTTGCAGTTCAGATAGAATGCAAAATTGTAGTTGAATCAAGAGTCAGAAATTGGCTGTGTTTTGAATTGTTATTCCTGCTTTTGATTTGTTTTTTTTTCAGATGTGCTTCAGTTTATAATGTAACTAAAGATTTTGTTTGTGTAACTGCATGATTAAGACAATAAAGTATTTTTTCTAGTCTTCCACAAAAAATCTTTTTGATCAGTTTGCGAGTTTTGATGAGTTTTGTAAGTTTTCTGTTTTATGAACTATGAATCAGCAAATTTTTAAGATTGTACAACATAACAAAAAGTACCGCTGTTTAAAAAGATAATGTATATAAAATGCATATAATAAATACTAAATGGTGTACCTGTATATTACTGTTGCCTATATTTTGTTACAAAATTTATGTGTATCATTTTTCTCTCTAAGTAATTGAACTAGGAAATTAATGTTTAAATAACACAAGTATTGTTTACATGTTGAGATAACTTCTGTTTTTTAAAGTAGTTGTATTATGTTATTAGTAATTTGGGGCACCACTCCTCCCTTACAAGAACTTGTTTCAAAACATATATTTCTGGTATTTTTAAGAGGACAATACAACAGCAAGGTAACATATTTTGTATTTTAATTCATAACAACAATACTGCCTTTGATCAAATGGCCTTTAAAAATCTTAGGCTGGTTCTATGAATTCTACAAATATTGATGCCTTCACTTTAGAGAATAGACAATATATGTCATATTTTTAGATGTAGGTTTGCTAATTAATATAAAATGAGATATGTGAATGGTTCTTTCTCATTCCCTATATCTCTTGGGCCAAAGAACTGCTAATTTCTTGTCTAAAAGTTAACAGAATTGACAGAAATTTCATTTAAAAATAAATGTTTAAGAATGGCATTTTGAATAGATTTGTATACTGCAGGTAATAAGAATGACTTTCAAGTAGTATGGCAATGCATTGAATTTGTAGCCTCAGTCCCATCTCAAGTTTTTTCAGTTAAAGAGAAAAAAAACCACCAGTCAAAACTATTGTTTGGCTAAAATTTATTCTTGACTGGCAAGAGAAAGTTACAGAAATAAAATTATGTGGTATAAATTACCGTATTAAAAGGCCTTTACCATGATGTGCAGTTTTAAAAATAGCAGGATTCAGATAAAAAGTGTGCTGTGCAAAGAGAAACAACTTTTTGGAGACGAAGCAGAGTTTAAAACTTTAGTAATGAATTGATGTGCAATAGAATAATTCAAACTGAAAATTCTGGAAGATATGCCACAGATGTCACAAAAAATATTCAGAACAAAGCAACTTATTTGCAACTTATTTACAACTTATTTACATTTCATAGAAATAATTCATAATTTTTAAACATTACTTATAACAGAAAAATCAATTTATAGCACTTTTTTATAGAAAATATATTTGAAGCTAGAATAGAGGCTGAAAATTGAACCTCTTATTGTGTTGATTTTTATTTCTATTCAATTCAGAAACCCAGACTTTTCCAACTTTTAAGGTCTGTACTATTGGAGCCTGTTGAATATTTTGCTGATGAGATCTGTTTGTACAACCCCAAAACATAATCTTGTGCAGTTGGGGGGCGGGGTGTCTTTCTTGACTCACAACTCCTGTTCAAAAATCAGGTGGCAGTTGTACTGACCAGGAGGCACTGTTCAAGGTCACTCATTTATCAGATACCTTCCGACTGGATTACTGCAATGTGCTTAAAATGGGACTCCCCTTTGGACCATCTGGAAACTAAAGCTGATCCAAGATACAGCAGCACAGGGAATTATGAATGCATCTCAGTAGACCTCTGTTACATCTCTGCTCCGTGAGTTGCACTAGCTCCCAGTATACATCCAGGTGGAATTCAAAGTGCTGGTGGTCACTTTATGATATTGGGTCATTACTATTATTATTATTATTTTGGTGAAACTGCCTCTCCCTATCCAGGATAAGTATATTCCAATATCTTCAATTGCTGAATGTCATGTTACAGATCCTCAGGAAAATGTCATATAAACGGAAGGAAGCCAAGCATGCCGTTCTCTTATTTGGCACTAATTTTTTTTAAAAAACCCTTCCCCAATTTATCCCTGGGTTCAGGTTTTGATGAAAAGGTTGCAAAGACATTTTGCATTTTGTGGGGGGATCATTTGAAGCAAAAAAAAGTTTTTTTTTAATCCAGAGCTACAAATATTCTCTTCTATTAACAAGGTAGCCCATTTTTCTCAAATTTTTTTGAAAAGTTAAATATTACAAAAACTGTCAGTGCTACTGCTACTTGGTCCTTTAGGCAAGAAAGACCTCAATTCCTACTCCTAACTATAATCATGGTTAATCATACTTCCATTTGCAAGTATTTGTATTTTGTTATTTTCTTGGATGTTTCTCTTCTGCTGTCTCCAGGTACTGCAATATCAACTATTTTTGTCTTTCGTACTGATAATAATTAAGCCTAGGGTATTATGTGGCAGGTGATTGTCTGTTTGAATTCTATAGCTGTAGCTTCTTCTTTGTCTATTTCACCAGTTCTTGCTTGGAAGCAAATGGTATTGCAGATATTCTAATGTACTACTGCTACTTTGTTATGCCATTGTTTCTAGTCAGTCTGAGATCTTGCAGCAGCTAACTAGAGTTTAATTGTTAACTGTTTCCTCTGCCTGTTTGCAGAGATGACATTTTACTGTTACTGTGCCCTCAATGTTGGTTTTATGTGCATTTGTTCTTAAAGCTTAGCCTTGTTTAGCCAGAATTAGACCTTGCCTCTTTCTTCAATTTTCCTGCTCTTAGCTATTGCCAGATTTTCTTTCTAACCTGCTTTGTCTGGTATTTTATTTTAATTTTCTGGTCATATAATACTTTGTTTTATTTATTTAGAAGATTTATATGGCTGTCCATTCACTCTCAGTGGCTTACAAACAATAAAAAACCCAATATAAAGGTATAAAAAACAACTCCTCTTGTGACAACACACAATCAAATGAACCATTTGATGGACTCCATTCCACCCTGGGTTCCCCAAATCCGTTGGCAGAACCAAGGCTTCAAGGCCGTATAAAAGAGTGTCAAGGAGGGAACAGCCTAATCTCTGCAGAGATGACATTCCAAAGAGGGAGCCAACCTGCCAGATGTATCTCCTTAGGAAACAGGACCTGCAACATTCCTTGCTTCCAAGCTCTATTAGGTCGGGCGGATGTCATCAGTAAGAGACAGTCCCTCAAGATAACCCAGTCCCAAACCATGAAGGGCTTTAAAGGTGACAACCAGCACTTTGAATTGCACCTGGAAGCAAATTGGCAGCCAATGCAGCCCCAACAGGAGAGATGACATCTGGGTCTGCACAATGCCATTAGGCCACTGCATTTTGAACCAATTGGAGCTTCCGGATGCTTTTCAAGGGCAGTCATAATGGAAGGTGACTGAGGCACGAGTGACTGTGAGCAGAGATTGTTGGTCCAAGAAAGGATGTAACTGGTGTACAACCCATAGTTGTGCAAAGGCCCTCCTAGCTGTGACTGCCATCTGCTCATTAAGTAGGAGTTGTGAGTTCAGGAGAACCCCCAGGTTATGCACTTACCCATCCAAGACCAAAAATGGCAATTCTCCATGGACCAAAGAGCCCCAAACCCAGAGCCACTCGGTCTAACTAGGCCTGTTGGTCCCCATCTAGCCTTTAACAGCTTCTAAGACTGCGAAAGAGGGGTCACGGCATCACTTAACTCACCATGGGCTGAGAATACAGTCAAGCATCATCAGCATATTGATGATATCTCAGTCCATGGTGGTGGATGATCTCACCCAGCAGCTTCATGTAGATGTTAAAGAGAAGCAGAAAGAGTATCAAGCCCTACAGAATCTCACAAAGCCATGGACAAGGGCTGGACCTCTCGTTTCCTATCAACACCGACCAAGAGCAGCCACAGAGAAAGCAAGTGAACCAGCCCCCCCCTTCCCAATTCTTAAAGCTGCTCCAGAAGGATATCATGATCAATGATATCAAACGCTGCCAAGAGGCTGAGTATAGCAAGAATGGATGCACTACCCTCATGCCACTCCCATCTTGACATGTCTCTTTTCTTTATTTGGTCTTTCTTGTAGGCCAGTTAGGTCTCTCCATTAGTAAGCTGTCGTGGTATACGAACTTAAGTGCATCTTTACTGTCCTTCAGATGCCCCCCCCTTTTTTTTTCAGCTCTGATGCACTTGCAACATTCCATTCCTACCTATTTTCCTTGATAAGTAGAGTCTGTCAGCATCATTGCATAGATGAAGGGCATGATTGCTGGTGGGGAGGTCTTTTTGTTCCCTTTTTGGCTTGGTGATTGTCTCATTTGCATAGTATGTAGATATTGTTTATGTCTATGTGTCTGTTGGTAGCTAATTTGTGCAACTTCCAGGCTTCTTTTGGACCTGGCTCAGTCTATAATGGTCAGTTTCCCCATTGAAACTATGATTAAGGCTGTCCGTATGTTGTGAAATTAAAAATTAATTAAATTAAATTTATTGCTAATGCGAATAGTTGCATTTGCAAGAACTTTGGAATAAACCGACTACCACATTTAAATAAACCAAAGGTGAGTTTGAAAAAGTGATAAATATGATTTTAGGATAAAATTCAGTTACCTTTTTCATGCTAATTGGCCATCCATTTTATTATGCTGGAACAGTAAAATGATGGAAAGCACATTTATTTGATCTATAATCTTGCTTTGGTTGAATATTTATTACTGGTTTAGGAAAGAACCTGTTTTAAAGAAATCAAAGTGATTTTGAATTATATTCACAATTACTTAACTATGAATATTTGGAATTTATCATTTGTTCTTTTCTATAATGAAAGAATAGTACCAACCTGGATTCAGAATTGCTTCTATACTGATATAAGGTAAAGATGGATCAATATTATTCTATGGGATAAAGCTTTAATTCTGTATTTAAAGGTCAAGCTCATTTTTATATGCATTAAATATTTTTGCTCTTGCTTTTGGATTTTTCTCCCTTTTTCTTTATATGCTAAAACAGTATTTTAAACAAATCTTAAAGAACGATGTTTCTTGAAACAATGGCAGTAATTAAATGCATAATAGGATTTGGAAACACTAACCTTTAGATCCGAAATTAAAGCAAAAACTTAATGGTTTACTCATAACACAGTAATCTAATCTTATATGCATAATTTGTTTTCAATAATCAGCATTATTTGTACTGTGCTGTTTTATGTAGTAAATTTAAACATTGCAACATTTGATTATTGTGATCAAGATAAGCCATGATCAAGATAAGCCACTCTAAGCCTCTGGCTAGGTTTTTTTTAAACTTCATTTGTATTTTCTCCCCCTCCAATTGGCAAATATTTTTGGGTA